TTGAATTAAATGCGGCATGCAGGACTCCCATGACCAACAGCAAACACTAGAAGGGTTTGATTATGTTTATGGTGGGCATTGACTTTACGTTTGGGAGTTGTAGTTCACCTACATCCAGAGAGAGCTGTGGATGGATCTGGACCAAATTTGGCATGAATATTCCATATGCCCAAATACGAACACAGATGGAGTTTGGGGGAAATAGATCTTGACATTTTGGGAGTTGTAATTACTGGGATTTATAGTTCATCTACAATCAAAGGGCATTCTGAATCCCACAAATGACAGAATTGGGGCAAACTTCTCACACAGAACCCGCATAACCAACAGAAAATACTTAAGGCCATCCAGTCCAAATCCTTTCACCAGGGCAACAAAAATGTATTCAACACCCTCCTGACAAAGAGCCATCCAGCCATAGATATAGATAGATATATATGATTTACACACACACATACACACACACACACAGAGATATAGTATCATAGGTTTGAAAGGGACACCTAAAGAAGGACAATTAAATGTTGTATGTTCCCAAGTAGGCAAACCAGACAATCTCTACATCAACACTGACAAAGAAGCAGCAAGAAATACTGTTTACCCACAAGCACAAAGAAATTACATCTATTAGAAACCAACACTTTCTCATTACTTTATTTTCCAGATCACCAGACTGGGCCACAGCAATGCATGGCAGGGGATGGCTAGTCTATATAAATAAAAGCGTAATGTTCGTTTGTGGGATTAACACAACTCAAAAACCACTGGATGAATTGACACCAAATTTGGACACAATACTCCTATCAGGCCAATGAGTTGACCACCACTCATAAAAACAATGAAAATCACAGGGGAAGAGACTTAAAAAGCCAAAAAATAAAAAAAATACATTACAACGCATGTGCAAAACCACATATATACACATATACACATACATAAACACACAAAACACATATACACAGACTGGGCCACAGCAACACATGACAGAGGATGGCTAGTGTAAAATAAAAAAGCTGTTTACCTTCATGATAACTGCAAGAAGGGTTTGTTGAAACCAAAAAGGGCATATATTTTAGAGTACTCTTAAAGCCAATGAGGAAGCTGTGAATTTTTGGCCTGTTTTGAGCTAAGCATCCGAGCTTCTCCATTGCTTTCATGTCCAGAATCACTGAGATTTCCGGACTGTCTGGCCATATTCTAGAAGCATTCTCTCCTGACGTTTCACCTACATCTATGGCAGGCATCGTCAGAGGCTGTGAGGTCTGTTGCAAACTAAGCAAATGGGGTTTATATAATGGTGGAATAATGTCCAGGATGGGAGAAAGAATTCGTCTGTTTGAAGCAAGTGTGAATGTTGCTACTGGCCACCATGATTAGCATTTAATGGCCTTGCAGCTTTGAAGCCTGGCTGCTTCCTGCCTGGGAGAATCCTTTGTTGGGAGGTGTTAGCTAGCCCTGATTGTTTCCTGTCTGGAATTCCCCTGTTTTCTGAGTGTTGTTCTTTATTTACTGTCCTGATTTTGAGTTTTTAAAAATACTGGTAGCCAGATTTTGTTCATTTTCATGGTTTCCTCCTTTCTGTTGAAATTGTCCATGTCAGGAAGCAGCCAGGCTTTGAAGCTGCAAGGCTATTCAATGCTAATCAAGGTGGACAATTGCAACATTCAGACTTGCCTCAAACAGACAAGAGTTTTGTCCCACCCTGGACAATATTTCACAGATATATATAAAGCTCATTTGCCTAGTTTCCAACAGACCTCACAACCTCTGACAATGCCTGCCATAGATGTGTGCGAAACATCAGGAGAGTATGCTTCTGGAACATGGCTATACAGTCCGGAAATCTCATAGCAACCCAGTGATTCTGGACATGAAAGCAATGGAGAAGCTCAGATGCTTAGCTCTCCCCCGTTGCATTGGAATTATGATAGAGAACTCAACTGCAGAATCCAGTTTTCCATGATACACAGTGTGATGCATATTTTCCCTAAACAAAGAACCAAACAAAGAGCAAACTAAGCTCTCCCCTCCACTCCCCCCTCTCTGCATAGGCCAAATTCCACAATCTTCAAATTCTACTACATTATTGGATGAGCCGAATGATAGTTAATGGATGCAAATTAATGAGGGACAATCTTAGGAAGAGACAACGTCCGAAGTATCATTTGTAGCTTAAGAAGTATATGCAATCCTTTTGAACAAAAACAATGCTTCTAGGATTATAAACATTGTGACAAGCATATAATCACCCATGTAAACAGCATAGGGAGTCATAAACATATCCTAAAGGACAGTGTTTTAACATTCGGGGCCATTAGAACACAATAGGCGCCATCCGCCCGCATGTCTTATGAGCTAATCCCTCTGGGAGCAGCATGAGAGATGAGCAAAGCATTTCTCATTTCTCACAGGCAGGGTGGGATGAGAATGCAGCCATGGCAGAAAATTGGAGGCAAAATCCAGCATATGGCACTGGGCAAAAAGTGCCGTTTTTCTGTTTCCAAAAGGAAAGAAGAGGAGCCCATGTTTCATAAGCATCCTTAACATAAAGTCAAAAAGAACTTTATTCTATCCCTGCTATTTCAAAAAATCTAGAGAGAGTGGATAAATATTATATTATATATAATATATTGTATATACATATAGTATTTATAATACTATAATGCAATACAATATAATACTACTACTAATACAATATTATAATTATATATTTTATATTACATGTAATATTACTAATAATAATCTATATAAATAAAAATGTAATGTTCGTTTGTGGGGTTAACATAACTCAAGAACCACTGGGGGAATTGACACCAAATTGGACACAAGACACCTCTCAGGCCAACGAGTGACCATCACTCATAAAAAGACTGAAAAACACAGCAGAAGAGACTTAAAAAGCCATTAAAAATACATTACAAGCATTTGCCAAACCACATATATAAAAAGGAAAGAGGGAAGGAAGGAAAAGAAGAAGAAGAAAGAAGAAAAGAAGGAAATAAAGAAAGAAAAGAAAAGGAAGGAGAAGAAGGAAGGAAGGAAGGAGAGGAAGAGGAAGAAGGAAGAAGGAGAAGAGAGAAGAGAAGGAAGGGAGAAGGAGAGAAGGAAAGAAGAAGGAAGAAAGGAGAGAGAAGAAGAAAGGAAAGAAGGAAGAAAGAAGGAAGAAAGAAGGAAGGAGAGAAGGAAATAAAAAGGGAAAGAGGGAAGGAAAGAAGGAGAGAGGGGGAAAAGAGAAAGAGAGGAGGAGAGAAGGAAGAAAAGAGAGACAGCAGAAGAGAAAGAAAAAGGAAAAGGAAGAAAAGAGATAGAGAAGGAGGAAGAAGAGAAGGAAAGACAGGAAGGTAGGAAGGAAAGAGGGAGTGAAGGAAGGAGACAAAGAAGGAAAGAAAGAGGGAAGGTTGGCCACAGCAACACGTGGCAGGTACAGCTAGTATTACAATATAATAGTATAGTACAATATAGTAATATATAATTCTGATATTGTACTATCCTACTAATATAATATATCATATTTATATATATCTTGTAAGCCGCTCTGAGTCCACTTCAGGGTGAGAAGGGTGGCATATAAATGTCATAAATAAAATAAAATAAATATAATTCCTAAGGGTCATAAGGTGGGACTGAAGTGGACTATGTAACACCTTCCTCCCTCCTCATGATAAGCAGAAGTAATTCAGTTCTGTGTAATGGAAGATAACTTATGTACATTTGCATACTTTGCATAATTTATGCAGGTGTCAGATTCAGGTTTCATTTGGCACCAAAGTCGGATTAGCATGGTGCAGAATTCTTAGCATAGATTACATAGACCAGATCAGAGGCTGCTGCCTATCAAGGTATCCATTGTCATTTTAGCTCCCAAAGGTTTTAGGTCCAGCTCAAAGGAGCAATTTGGAGTCACATGAGAATCTACAAAAGGTGTATCGCAGGGTTCAGGGTTCAGTTATCCCAACTATCTACACAAAGAGCATCGAAGGGACAGCGCTCAGGTATCCCAAAATAAAACGTGCATGTACTTTGCTGTGGAAATGAAGATAGGCATCTCCCATATTCACATCTTTTTTGTTGTAATGGTAGGGAGAAAAATTAAAATCTCATTTGGAGTTATTGTTGTTATATAGCATACGCCTGCGAGACGTGGACTGTCTACAGACGTCACATGCAACTCCTAGAATGATTCCATCAGCGTTGCCTCCAAAAAATCCTGCAAATGGTCCTCCGCCATCAACTCCACTGGACCGGCCACGTTGTCCAGATGCCCGAACACAAGAACGGAAGACAGAATACTCTGAACACAAGAAGACAGAATGTTGGAGGACAGGAAAAGAGATTTAAAGATGGACTCAAAGCCAACCTTAAAAACCCTGGCATAGACACTGAGAAATGGGAAGCCCTGGACTGTGAGCGCTCCAGCTGGAGGTCAGCTGTGACCAGCAATGCTGTAGAATTTTAAGAGGCACGAATGGAGGACAAAAGAGAGAAACGTGCCAAGAGGAAGGTGCATCAAGCCAACCCCGACCGGGACCGCCTTCCACCTGGAAACCAATGCCCTCACTGCGGGAGAACGTGCAGATCAAGAATAGGGCTCCACAGTCACCTACAGACACACCACCAGTACATCAATCTTGAAAGACAATACTACTCGGACAACAAGGGATCGTCTAAGTAAGATGTAGTCTAACCACCACAGCTCATGTCTACAAGACTGAAGGAATCTCAACTACTCTGTAAGTGTTGTTACAACAACGACAACAGGACTGAAGAAATTCAATTCCTCGCTCAGTCATGAAACTCGATGAAGTTAAACCTTAAGGTAATCAAAGTATCTTACTCTGGACTACTTCACAGAGTTGCTGTAAGGATAGAAATGGAAGAGCGTATATGTTGGCCTGAGCCATGCTACAAAAAGTGGGATAAAAATATAAAAAATAAATAAAACATTTAAAAGTCCTTAGTCATTTCTGCTCCAACACACTCATTTAGATAGGTCCTCTTACCCAGAAGATCCAATGCTTTTGCACACAGCAAGGAGAGGTCTCTTCTCAGCAAAGTTATCACACTTCTGAGGACCTGTTGCGAAGACACACAGAGTTAATAATGAATTATTTTTAAAATTCACTGTAATCTTTGAATTTAAAGATACAGAATGGAAATCACCAATATCTACCCCACCATTAGACATATACGGTAAGTATTTCTATAAATGAACAGCTCCACAAATAGGTCTGGGTTGCATCTCTGTTGAAAGTTCAAGTAGCTTACAAAACTGGAGCCCCAGGTGATGCAGTGGGTTAAACCGCTGAGCTGCTGAACTTGCTAACCTAGAGGTCACAGGTTTGAATCCGGGGAGAAGCATGACTTCTTGCTGTTAGCCCCAGCTTCTGCCAACCTAGCAGTTTGAAAACATGCAAATGTGAGTAGATCAATAGGTACTGCTTCTGCAGGAGGGTAACGGTACTCCATGCAGTCATGCTGGCCACATGATTTGGCTGCCATTTTGCCTGTGAGCACAACTCAAAGTCCAAACATATCTCCCTCTATGAACCATCTTGGAGATTAAGATCTTCTGGGGAGGTCCTTCTCTCGATCCCGCCCTCTTCGCAGCGCGATTGGTGGAGATAAGAGACAGGGTCTTATCAGTGGTGGCCCCTCGGCTATGGAACTCCCTCCCCAGGGAAATTAGATCAGCCTTCTCCCTCCTCACCTTCAGGAAGAAAGTTAAATCCTGGTTGTGGGACCAAGCATTTGTAGTGAATTCCAGTGCAATATATGTAATTTCTTTCTTGCTGCTTCTTTGTCTGGTTTCCCTACTCTGGAACATGCAACATATCATTGTCCTTCTTTAGGGGTCCCTTTCAAATCTATGATACTTTATCTGTGTGTGTGAATCATATGTATCTATCTATATCTATGGCTGGATGGCTCTTTGTTAGGAGGGCTTTGATTACGTTTTCTTGCCCTGGTGAAGGGAGTTGGACTGGATTACCTTAAGTATTTTCTATTGATTATGAGGATTCTGTGTGGGAAGTTTGCCCTGATTCTATCGTTTAAGGGGTTCAGAATCCTCTTTGATTGTAGGTGAACTATAAATCCCAGCAACTACAATTCCCAAATGTCAAGGTCTATTTCCTCCAAACTCCACCACTCTTCACATTTGGGCGTATTGAGTATTTGTGCCAAGTTTGGTCCTAATCCATCATTGCTTGAGTCCACGGTGCTCTCTGGATGTAGGTGAACTACAACTCCCAAACTTAAGGCCAATGCCCACCAAACCCTTCTAGTGTTTTCTGTGGGTCACGGGAGTCCTGTGTGCCACATTTAGTTCAATTCCATCACTGATGGAGTTCAGAATGCTCTTTGATTGTAGGTGAATCCCAGCAACTACAATTCCCAAATGACAAAATCAATTTTTTGAGTGTTGCCCTGATAGGTGTCTTGTATCTAAATTTGGTGTCAATTTGTCCAGTGGTTTTTGACTTATGTTAATCCCACAAACTAACATTACATTTTTATTTATATGTACTAGCCGTCCCCTGCCATGCGTTGCTGTGGCCCAGTCTGTGTATGTTGTGTGTGTGTGTGTGTGTGTATATATATATGTTTATGTGTGTGTATATATTTGTGTATATGTGCATATATGTGTGTTTGCATAGACAGACAGACAGACAGACAGACAGACAGACAGACAGACAGACAGATAGATAGATAGATAGATAGATAGATAGATAGAGATAGATGGGTGTATATGTGTGTGCATATGTATGTATATATTTGTGTACTTCTATGTGTATATGTATATTATGTATATGTGTGCGCTTGCGTATATATGTGTGTATGTATGTCTATGTGTATATGTATGTGTGCATGCGTATATGTAAATGTATACTTGTCTGTGCTTGTGTATATATGCGTGTGTGTGTGTCTGTACGTCTGTATGTATGTGTGCATGTGCATATGTGTATGAGTGTATGTGTATATATAGTTTATTTTGGGGGGTTTATGTCCATTCTGCTGGGTTTTTTGTGTGTGTTTTAGGGGTGATGGTCACTCATTGGCCTTATAGGTGTCTTGTGTCCAAATTTCGTGTCAATTCATCCAGTGGTTTTTGAGTTATGTTAATCCCACAAACGAACATTACATTTTTATTTATATGTATTTAAGGCATTGCATTGTTCCTTTGTTGTGAGCCTCCCTACGTCTCCTTCATGGTGAGAAGGGTGGGATATAAATGAGGTAAGTAAATAAATAATAAACAGAAAAAGCACTGTATAAATAAAGGACTCTAAAGCGAATTACCTTGAAGTGAGGCATGCCTGTATTCAACTCTTTTATGCTTGGATTTTAGATAAAATGTGACCTGGCTTGCAGTGAGTGACAATTGGTCACCCAAGTGTTTTTAAGGGCTTCAGATGTTTATCAACAGGTCACTTCCTATAGTGCCAATGTGACAACAGGTCACTTCCTATAGTGCCAAAAGCATTGATGATGAAGCGGACACGGTGAGTCAGTTGACGTTGAATACACCAAGCCATGATTTGAGAGGAGGCGGCGGCTCCATAGATGATTGGCAAACCTTTTAAGTGAACAAATTGTTCCCGGGCTCTTTAATCTTCTCGAGGACTGTTGAATGAAAAATCTGTCTCTTGTATGTTAATGTTTTTTTTTTTCTCGTCAGATTATTTCAGATTAATGCCTTTTAGAAGTCTGTAGTTAAATTGTAAATCAAGCTTTGAGGGGGAATGGATTTTGGGCAGTACTTTCAGTTGGACAAATAACCTGGATTCTAAGGGAAAGTAAACACAATTGTTAATAATACCCATTGCTTTACATTTTCAAAGAGTGGGGATTGTTTCACTTGTCTTTTCAGAAATTTTAAAGCCTAAATGTAATTGGTAGTCTCGACCAGGATAAACCCATAGAATCGGTTTGCAAATCAAACAGCATTTATGTAAATTTAGTGGGTTTAAGAGGTCTACTGTAGTTGTAATTGGCAATTATATGTAAGTTTTTTTTAACTAGTGCCTCAACAGAACGTGGTATCTTCACCTTTTCAAAGCTTCACAAATGCACTTTACCGTAGTTTATTACACTTTTGGTTAGATTTTATTAACTGAAAGCCTTATTATTTCAACATTAATAATTTAAACAATTTTTACAATGTTTCAATGTTTAAGTGTCACAGTTTAAAACGTTATAACTTAAGCATCTACGATATTATAATATTTATTTATTTATTTATTTAAAACTTTTATATCCCGATTTTCTCACCTCCATAGAGGGACTCAGACCAGCTTACAGCAAGGATTCAATGCTACTAATACAAGTTAAAACATCATAGGTAAGGTAAAGGTAGTCCCCTGACATTAAGTCCAGTCATGTCTGACTCTGGGCTGTGGTGCTCATCTCCATTTCTAAGCCGAAGAGCCAGCGTTGTCCGTAGACACCTCCAAGGTCATGTGGCCGGCATGACTGCATGGAGTGCCGTTACCTTCCCGCCGGAGCGGTACCTATTGATCTACTCACATTTGCATGTTTTCGAACTGCTAGGTTGGCAGAAGCTAGGGCTGACAGCGGAAGCTCACGCCGCTCCCCGGAATCGAACCTGCGACCTTTCGATCAACAAGCTCAGCAGCTCAGTGCTTTAACCCACTGCGCCACCGGGGGCTCCACTAAAACATCATACAACAATACAAAATTAAAATACATATGGATAAAATACATATATACCAAATCGCCAAGGTAAAATCATGTTCAACTCAGTCCGCATAAGTGGTCACTCACTTTGGTCTGTAACCAGTCTCAGCCATTATTCTGGGAATGCTTTGTTCCATAACCAGGATTTCACTAGCCTCCTGAAGGACAAGAGGGAGGGGGCAGATCTAATCTCGCTCGGGAGAGAGTTCCATAGCCGAGGAGCCACCACAGAGAAGGCCCTGTCTCTCGTTCCCACCAAACACGCTTGCAAAGGTGGTGGGACTGAGAGCAGAGCCTCTCCAGAAGATCTTAGCATCCTTGATGGTTCATAGGGGAGAATATGTTTGGACAGGTAAACATCCATTTCCCCAATCTGGCACCTTTCAGGTGTATTGTTCTGGCTTATTTTCCTCAATTTTGATGGGTCCTTTGAGATATATGTATGTGTGGTTGTTATGTCCAATTTATTTTTTATTTTTGTGTCAAAAGCATTGCATACATAAGTATAAAGCTGATAAAAATAGAAGGAGCACCAACAGCTAAATAATTTTCAACCAAAACTGGGCAACAGCGACCGCATTGTCTGTAGCTTTAAACAATTCATCCTCTGTGCATGAGGCAGGGCATTGTGGACAAACATATAGCTGTGGTTGTACAAGGTGGAGGATTCTTTTAGGTAGTTCCATTTTGCCAGGTTGTCTTTTGATCTGCCCAATCCACTTCTGAGTCTATTCACAGACTTCCAAGTTACCCCTGGAGGAAGACCCTCTCTTGTGGGGGGCCATCTCGTTGGGATTTCCTAGTTTTGCTTCCCAGAGGGATAGTCTTGCTGTTGCTGGGGGAACATTAAAAGAAATGGTGGTTCTCATGAAGTTTTCCTAGATTTGTGTGTACTGGGAGGAAGCTGATAGCCATGCAGTGAGTGGCTTTCATGATGTTCAACCTTCACATCTCTCACAGTTAGCAGTAACTTCCCATCGGGGGGGGGGGGGGGCAATGCCAGCTAGCTCGTAGAGTTTATCAACAGGTGTAGGTTCAAGACATCCTGTGATTATTCTGCTTGTTTTGTTCAATGCTATGTTCACCTGCTTCACGTGGGCAGACTTGTGCCAAACAGAGCAGTTGAGTAAGACAAGGCCAGGATTGATGTTTTTATTAATTTTGGGTCTGCTCCCCATGCGCTGCCAGTAAGTTTCCGCAGGATGTTATTGCGTGCAGCTACTTTGTGCTTGCCGTTCATAGGCAAGCACTGCTAGGTTGACAGAAGCTGAGGCTAATAGCGAGAGTTCATCCTGGTCCCCAGATTTGAACTGTCGACCTTTCGGTCAGCAAGTTCAGCAGCTCAGCAGTTTAACCCGCTGTGCCACCAGGGGGGA